AAAAATTTGGCGGTAAAGTAGTTCTCTGACTCCACCATGTGTTTGATAGGCCCTCGAGCTGAATGAAACTGAACTCGAAAGGTCTTCGTTGACATATAGCTTTTCTCGACTTAAGCTATGATGCTGGAAAACAGTTTCTTGTCACTGAGGCACGGTTAACCCAGGTCTTCTTCTCGACTTGAAAACCTCGATTGCAGCCGAATAGTAGTGTGATTGGGGTGTCATCGAGCTGAGATGGAGTCAAACTCGGTAATTTTATTGACAAATAACCCTTCTTGTCTTGAGCTATGTTGTAAACGATATGACCTCGAAGTTGAGTGTAATCGAACTCGGGGGTCCTTGGCAGATAGCCCTTCTTGACTTAAGCTATGCTGCAAATGATGTGCCTTGGAGCTGAGCGTAGTCGAACTCGAAGGTCTTTTGGCGACAGATAACCCTTCTTGACTTAAGTTATACTGCAAATGATGTGCCCTCGAAGCTGAGTGTAATCGAACTTGGGGGTCCTTGGCAGATAGCCCTTCTCGACTTAAGCTATGCTGCAAATGATGTGCCTTGGAGCTGAGCGTAGTCGAACTCAAAGGTCTTTTGTTAGCAGATAACCCTTCTTGACTTAAGTTATACTGCAAATGATGTGCCCTCGAAGCTGAGTGTGATCGAACTCGGGGGTCTTTGGCAGATAGCCCTTCTTGACTTAAGCTATGCTGCAAATGATGTGCCTTGGAGCTGAGCGTAGTCGAACTCGAAGGTCTTTTGGTCACAGATAACCCTTCTAGCCTTGAGTTATGCTGTAAATGATGTGCCCTCGAAGCTGAGTGTAATCGAACTCGGGGGTCTTTGGCAGATAGCCCTTCTCGACTTAAGCTATGCTGCAAATGATGTGCCTTGGAGCTGAGCGTAGTCGAACTCAAAGGTCTTTTGTTAGCAGATAACCCTTCTTGACTTAAGTTATACTGCAAATGATGTGCCCTCGAAGCTGAGTGTGATCGAACTCGGGGGTCTTTGGCAGATAGCCCTTCTTGACTTAAGCTATGCTGCAAATGATGTGCCTTCAAAGCTGAGCGTAGTCGAACTCAAAGGTCTTTTGTTAGCAGATAACCCTTCTTGACTTAAGTTATACTGCAAATAGTTTGTTAAAAATGGCTTCCCTTTACGGGTTGAAAACGGTCATGATTCTTCCGGTGGTTCCCCTAAACTGGTCTGGGAAAACCTACTGATAAATTCTGACAGCCGGATATCTTCCGTCGTGGAATTGAAATCTGGCTTGAAAGTGTTAACTGAAAACATGTTGCTCCTGGTGAGTTTGAATCGAACTAGATTCGATCTGAATTGGTTCTCGAACCCATCTGACATTGGTTCTGAGATCTGTAGTTATGTCAAGTCGGTTGAGGTGTAACTTCTTGCTGCTGAGTTACACCATCGTTCTTTAAAGGTGCTTGCAAGTCGAGTAACCTTCATCCTGAAGTCGAAGCTTGACTCTGAAAGCTGCAAAATTATGTATGCTAAAATGATGAATGTGATGCACCTAAGTATGTCTAAGACATGCAATCATGAATGAATTATGATTTATTTCTTGGATGGAGTCTCGTGCTCTGCCTGCCAATCTGGTCCATGGAATCGATCGTGCCCCATTTGCTTCTCGAGCTTGGGCTTTACAGACATTTCATATCTGAGATTGTTCTGTTTGAAAACGTTTTTTCTTTTTCCTGATTCAGGAGAGAGAAATGATAAAAATGTTGTAACGTATTGTTCGCAATTGAATCAAATTGTAAATGTGATTTCAAAAAATATCAAAGGAATCAAGAGCTCTTTTAATGCTTGTAGAGTTACAAATCTTTGACAAATGTTCAAAGGGACGAGTCGGCTTTAGGTTGGCCTCCTTTCTAAGGTTTTTTGGTAAAAATGTCTTTTTTTTTTAATATCGCAACATGCTTTGGCACTTTAATTGGGTGCGGACAAAAATGACGCAACTAGCATGATCAATTACTAGACCTTTTATCTCAGTCCTCTGAAATATTTCATTTGTTCAAGCTTTGTAGGCTCTTCCAACAAAGGCAGTGCAAAAAATATCGGTCTAAAAATGAAATTCTTGAGTGCTCGTGTGTAGTTGACTATAACAGGTGTTCCTTAACTCCCTTAGTCCATTTTACCGAAAATTTCTTAGATAAATTTGATTTAATTTGTCATTATCTGGCTAGCTGAATCCATAAAGCCGGGGCATTTAACCAATTGCCTTAGAGGGACAACTTAACATTATAATCACTCTTATCAAGTCAACTGAAGGGTTCATCTCATCACAGAGTCTTCAACCTGACAAGAGCAGTGGAGCAAACACCGAATTGCCAAGTGTCCGAGCAATGTCATGGTTTGAACGTAATCTACTCATAAGGCCAGGGCTTTCAAGTTTCCTCTATAACCAATTGCCTTAGCGGAATAGTTCAGTTTTACGGATTTAATTTCTTAAGATTGTCAAGAAGAACCTGTTATAGTCTAGGTGTTTGTTGAAAGTCAAAAATTTCATCTTTAGAGTTCAATTTTCAAGCAACTGGCCTAAACTAGATTCACATACTCGACTCTTTCATTTGTAAAGATCATCATCGTCATTGAACATCTTAAATAAAAAACATAGTAATTGTCATATGCAAATGATGCCCCATGTTGTCCGTACCTTATGAAAGGAAAATTGGTTAATTCCAAGAACGGGGTATGGTATTTGAGGGTATATTCTGGATAAGATCAAAGTCCTTGTTTTAAATCATGTTACTTCGTCAAAGATTCGTAACTTTGAACCGTCTACAGAGTTTCTTAATTCAAATGATATGCAAAGAATTGCAAATTTGCAAATATGATTCATTGCTTAACATCTTTTAAAGTAACATAAATTTGATTAAAATGTCTTTACAAAAACTTGAGAAAAAAAATGGAAGAAAAACAAAGTCAAACAGAATGCCTCAAATGATGAAATGATATTCCTCACTTGGATGCCCCCAAGTTGTTGAAGTCGATCCAGTTCTGGTTACGCATCTTTTGTACAACCCTCTTAAATGCGTAACAGTTCTCAATTGTGTGCCCTGGGACTCCGCCGTGATATTCACAATACGCATTCTCGTCATACCATTTGGGGTATGGGGGCTTCATGGGTTCTACTGGATATGGTGACACCACATGGGTGTCAAGAAGTTGCTCGTAAAGCTCTTTGTAGGTCATGGGAATAGGGTCGAAATGTTCCCTTTCCCTTCTGGACTCTTGTTTAGAAGTACCTAACGGTACAGCCGCAGTTGGTTTTGGGCTGGAGATTGTAACACCTTTGCTGGAGTGTTTGATGTTGTTAACCTCTCCATCCCTTTCCTTCATAGGAGGCTTCTTACTGGCTTCCCCATCCTTAATCTTGCCTTGTTTTATGGCCGACTCAATCATTTCTCCGGCCATAACCAAGTCTGAAAAGCTTCCTGATGTGATCGCCACCAAATGCCCGAAGTATGGAGCCTTCAGAGTCTGCACGAAAAGTTTCCGGGTTTCCTTTTCATCTAACGGTGGATGAACTTGCACAGCCAAGTCCCTCCATTTTTGTGCGTACTGCCTGAAACTCTCGTTATGCTTCTTTTCCATGTTTTGTAGCATAACTCGATCTGGCCTTATGTCATTGTTATGCTTGTATTGTTCCAGAAATGACTTGGCCAGGTCCTTCCAGGTCTTGATATTTGATCGGCTTAGCTGGTTGTACCACCGAATGGCTGAGCCCGACAGACTATCCTGAAAGCAGTGGATCAGGAGTTGGTCGTTTCCTCCATATCCTGTCATCTTTCGGCAGAACATGGTGATGTGAGCGGATGGGCAACTATTCCCGTCAAACTTCTCGAACTCCGGGGACTTAAATTTCGGGGGAAGAACCAAGTCCGGGACTAGACTAAGTTCCGTTGCATCGATTTCATGGTAGTCACGGTCTCCTTTGACTATATTCATTTGGTCCTCCAATTGTTTGATTTTTTCCTCCATCTTCCTCGCTTTTTCCTCTTCATCCAAATCCGGTACATGATAATAACCCGGATTGTTCTTAGGGTTAAATACAGAGGACAAGGGCTTTGATTTTGCAGTAGATGAATCCCCTCGAAGTTCTGGTAGGATTTCAGGTGAGATAACCACTTGCGGGGTAGGTTGTATAGTTACCCCTTCCGGTGAACCTGCCCCGGGCGCACTGGTCTGTTGTAGGCCAACTAATTTGGCAACGATCTGGTCAACCAAGGACTCTTGGTTCTTTGTGATTGTTTCCAGAATATTTCGACTGTTCTGGTTCATCTTGTCCTCTAACTCCTTCTGTAGTTTTAACATATTCTCCTCGATTTGTGTAATTCTGGCTTCCATCCTCTTCTTCTTCAAACGAGTGTTATGTGGATGGGGTGTGTCCAATACTTGAGGTGGTGTATCCAGTATTTACTCCTTTTGATGAGACATGTATATATTAGTTAATATGAATGCAAAGAAAATAACAAAATGCAAAGAAAATAAGAAATGCAAAATGTCTAATATGTGATGCATGAAATGTCCGAGGCATTGATCCAAAAAATATGCCTGTTATTCTGAATAACCCTTATTGGTGACAAAAGTGTTACGTCTGAAGAGACAAAAAACTCTTTTTGATGGTACAAATCCTGTACAGCTCTTGACAAATTGATTCGTCTTTTTCACTAGTTGAATATCCTGTCGAACCATTCCGGCTTCCTTGGCTAAAATGTGCAAATAATGAGATGCTTGCCCCAAAAAAAGATCTCGAAGGACTGCATCTTCGACTTTCACTTTCTACCAAGCTTGTTTCTAACGAAAGTGTTATTGGAGCCCTCCATCCAAAGCTTGCTTCTTGAATTCGTCAGTAATGGCATCTAGCTCAGCTAGTGTTTCACTATCTTGTTCTTGTATTTTCGAAAGGAGCGACCGAGTCAGTGACCTTTCCTCGTATTGCCCCTGCAACTTTGCCTTTGAGTATTCTTTGATCACGGTTGGACTTCTGAGCTTTTTATCTCTTTGTATTATAACCCCTTTGCCCATTAATGCAGATTATTTACGTTTAACAAACACATTTTTGGTGGATCTACACCCCGTTTTAAATGATGCGAATGATAAAAACATAATAAAAGAAGACAAAAATAAAAGAGTTAGTGAGGTAAATCAAAACAATAATAAAAATGAAAAAAAAAAAAATCCTACCCCACATGATATCTACCCCTCATGCTTTAATTCCTACCCAGACATGATTTCTATTCCGCAGGCTAATTTTAAACAAATCCTAACCGCATATTTGTCTAGTTCGCATGCTTTGAACAGAAATAAAGCAGGAAACAAAGCATCCTAGGGTTCGGAATGAGGTTTTGGGGCGGGCTCTACTTCCCTGTACTCTCTCGGTTTAGGTTCTAAAAACGGTACTCGAGTTCTCCTTGCCGGTGCCCCCTTGGGCTTACCAGACCCTTAGTCCTAAACCCATCACAGGCTTGTGTGGACTAAGTTAAACTCGAGGGGACACATTCCCTTATGCCCGCACGGTGAATAAATTCACACGAAGACATAAGGTATATGAATCCCGAAGGCTACTTGCTAGGCATATGCGGTGAATAAATTCACACGAATGCGTCGCTTTCACCCCCACTTAAAAGGGTTCGGAGCTCGGGTTTAGAGCTTAGAGATGACAATTTTGAAAAAAATCTGAAATCATTAAAAAACATTAGTACAACTATTTATTTGAAACAAAATAATCTAAGGTAAATAATTGGAATCGAATAGATAAATTAAAATTTAAATTTACAATTTTCGCATAAAAAGACAACGGAAAATTAATTCTGGCCTGACTCACTTACCTGTCCCCAGCAGAGTCGCCAAGCTGTCGCAACCGTCTTTCGGTTGTCTCCCGGAATTGGGCTTCGACTTGAATAATTGGGTTAGAGTCGCCACCGACCACTTTAAATCGAATTTAGGTGGGTCGAACACCATCTTACCTGATCTGCGTTGTACCAGAAACGTATCGAGTTCGGGAGTCGGTTACGGTCAAGGAAGGATTAGCACCCTTGAACTGCCCTTTCGGTACCGATTAATTTGCCGGTTGTCTTTATTTGCGAAAATTGGAATTTAAATTAAAATTTAAATTATTCGATTCGAATTACTTACCATTTGATCAGCTGGAATTTCTCTAAAAAAGATCAAAAACATTAAACACAAAAAAAAATATAATAATAATAATAATAATAATAAATTAACTAGAATAATGAATCAAAGGAGAGAAGAAAGAAAAAAAAAATAAATAAAATAAAAAGATAATTGAAAAATGAATAAAAGGAAAACAATATTAAATAAGTAAAAAACAAAATAAACAAAAGTAATAAAAAACAATAATAATAAAATAAATTTAGGGCAAATAAGATAAAAATGAAATAAAAAAATAATAATAAATATACTAATAAATATGAAATAAAATAAAATAAACAACATGAAGAAAAAGAATTGAAAAATATAAAAAATATTAAAATAGAAAAACTAAAAAAAGGAAAAACGGGAATGAAAAAAGTTTATAAAAAATAATAAAAATAAGGGTTGGGGACAAAATAATAATTAAACTTAAACAAGACAGTGACTAAAATGAAATACTAGCAAATGTAATATCCAGAGTCAAACTCTAATGAAAATAACAAAGCATATAAGAGTCATACTAAAATAAAAGAATTAAAACATTGAAGCTCAAAATAGAAGAAATTAAAAGTTTAATCCATGGCTAGAAAATGATATTACAAAGAAGGAGGGACCCGTTCTGCGATCATCCCATATGTCAACCCAGAGATGCCCTAAGTCCCTTAAACGGCGTCGTTTCGGGGTCTTTAAATACCCCCTTAACTGCAATCTCGGCAGAAACCCTCTCCCATTTCTAACCTCAGCCGTCTCCTCCTTTTCTCTCCTCTCAGATTCAAACACAGGAAAACCAGACATGAAAACCTCCCAAACCCTCACCCAGAAAACGTTACCTTTGTTGGCCTTTCACTTTTCCGGGGGTTTCTTCGACGAGGTGCACGCCGAGCCTTCGCCCCGAAACAAAGTTTGGAACTTTGTTTGTTTTACTTTCGGTTTAGAAAGTTTTCGTCTTTTGCTTGTTTTTGTAGTTCTGTTGTGTTGATGTTCACCGTTTGGTTTTTTGTTGATGGCTTCTATTTGTATACTGTTTTGGTTTTGGTTTGGTTTCTATCTTTCTTGATGATGCTCTGCGTTTCGGTGGTGATGGGATTTTTGTGTCGGTTGGCCGATGTTGGTTTCTGGTATGTGATGGCTCGGTTTTCTGTATGGTATCTCTCTCCTCCCCCTGATGGTTTCTCTCTGTTGTGTTTATAGGCCCCGATGGGGGTCCGTTTCCGACTGTTTTGGGGTCGATCCCGGATATTCCGGGGTCGTTCTCGGTGATCTCGGATGGTTCAGTCCGAGTAGTTCCGGTTTTGGTGTTGCACATCGCCGAAATACTCGGCCGGCCAATGACTTTCGATCCTCTGTAACCCTTGATCTCGACCGTTGGATTGGGTCAGATCCAACGGTCCAGAATCTGATGCGGCGCTGGACTTAACGTGGAAACCCTAATCTTTGGACTTTGTTTCTGGGCTGGGTCAGGCCCTGCTGTCTGCTTGGACCTCGTTCTGGACCCTGAACAAAAAACATAAAACAAAAATGATTAAATAAGAAATAATAATAATAAATAAAATAATTACACTAATAATAATAATAATAAATAATAATAATAATATAATAGTATAATATATATAAATATTTTTTAAAAAACATATATATAATTTCAAAAATGTTTTTTTTTAAATTATATAATATATATATTAAAAAAATGCTTTAAAAAAAATATATATACATTTTTAAAAACTATATAATATATAAATGTTTTCAAAATGTTTTCAAAACTATATATCATATAAATTTTCAAAAAAGGTTTTTCAAAACTATATATTATATACGTTTTAAAAAATGCTTTTAAATATATATATATATATATATATATATATATATTATACATTTCCAAAATGTTTTCAAAGACTATATATTATATATATTTTTAAAATGTTTTCGAAAAAAAACATATATTATATATCATATAATATATACTTTTCAAAAAGCTATTCTCAAAATTATATATATTATATGTATTTTAAAACATTTGTAAACTATATAATATATAGATATGTATATATAAATAAAAATCAGACGAAAATAGGTGTCTACACAAATAAATAATTTTTCCGAGGATTTTCGGTGATGTAAACTTGAGGAATCGGCTTGGAAGCTTTAAACCGTTGGATTTGGATAAAGACGCAAATCGTGGGGAGGGAATTGATCATTTAGAACAAATATTATTTATGTTGTAGCCAAATAAGCTTTTGAAACTTGTCATCGTTAATTGTTTATCCCGAGAATGGCAGACACGTTGGTGGGTCGTAATTGACCCATGGGATGGGACCCCTCTCCTGACATTTCGTTTTCAATTCCCAGTTTGGTCCGACATTGATAATAAGTTAAAAAAGTTATATTAGATTAATAACCAGGGAATATTTCAGTTTCCCGAGTGTAATAAATATTAAAATTAACTTGAAATTTATAAAGGAGAAAACATCAAAAAATAGGCACACGAGATTAAAGGCATATCATATTCTGCTAATCTATAAATAGCAAATATTATACACATACAGCTTGAAAAAAGAAAAACCGTGAACATGATAAGCCAATTAAATCACAACCGTCCATTATTCGTCATCAAGGATTCAACGGTGCCTACCACGACTTTCATTCAGCCTATTGATCATGTACAGGGCATTACTGGTGACCTTAGCCACATTTGTAATCTTCCTCTTCACGTCCGATTTAACGTTTCCGTCCACCCCTTCAAACCCATCGAGACACGTGTCCTCATTCGTCAGCGCCGCACTCACCCATGTCTGAGCATTGCTCATCTGAAACCCGAACGTCTCCCCTCTCAAGTGCTTCAGCTCCTGTAGGGTCTTGCTCAACTCGTCCATCGAGTCGGATATCTGGTCCACGCAATCACTCAGTGCAACTCGCTCCCTCTTGCTCTTCCCCGTCACCCTCGTCGTCAAGTAGGTCGACACTTTCCTCGCACGGGACAGGCTGACTTTGACGGCTGCTTGGGCCAAGTCACGTGGGGTGTCGGCTGGGCCGGAGTAGGAAGAAAGGGTCCTGAAGCAGAGGCTTGGATAGCTGGCGTGGACACACGATGAACGAACCAGATCATTCGATACGCCAGGCTTTGATGGGGCGGCGGCGGTGGCGGAGATGGAGAGTAAAAGGAGGATTGTTATGAGAAAGAAAGGGATTTCCATTGTCGAGCGGTGCTGTGAGTGTTCTGAGTTGAAGTTTGGTGCTTCTCTTTGACGGGGAGAAGGACCTTTATAGGGGAGAGCGATGACAAGCAATTATAATTGACGTAATGACTATATTACCTTTGAATTCATTTGACAGGTGTGATTTTTTAAACGTACTTTAATTTAAAAAATATTTTAACAATAGAATCAATATCAAACAGATAAAAAAAAAATAAAAATTATAACGGAAAAAATGACTTTAAATCAACAGGAATAGATAGAATTTGTATTTTTTTCATTTTTAAATTTGAGTTTAAAAGTAAATTATAATTTTACTGTTTGAATTTCATTTAATTATATGTTTATATTTTATTTTAATAATTTAAAATTAATAATTTTACTAAATTATTATTTAATAATTTATTTTAATTACTTAAAAATAAATAAAATTCATGATTTATATATTAAAATTCACTTTAATTTGCAAGCACTAATATATCTTTTTGTAATATTCTTTTTATCAAAATAAATATTTAAAATATTATTTCATAATAATTTTATATCCACGTGTTAAAAATTATTGATAATATATTTTTAATAAAATATTTTTATATTTTTATTATAGTTTAAGTTAATAAATTTTATATATCATAATATTAATAAGTGTAAATATAATTTAAATTTTATAATTTTAATTTACAACAAAATGTATGTAATGAATATTTTATCCTTAAACTTACTTTTAAACAATAATCTCAAACATTTAAATTTTAATCTGAACTTTTAAATGGAATTTAAAAAAATCTATCATATTTTCAAAAGTCAATTTTCAAAAATTCTATCAAACTTAGACCTGACAAATTTGACTCGAACCAATTTACCCGACCCAATATTTGATATTAACTTAAACATGATAATCAAATTTGATATGAAACGCAAACCATACCCGATCCAAAATTTAGTTAACTCAATATGGACCCATATCCAATTTGACACGAATCAAAAACAATACGAACCGAAAATAACCCAAACTAAAAGCAACTCGAACCGAAAATAACCTGAACCAAAACAATCCGAACCGAATTTAACTCAATCCAAAATTAATCCGGATCGAAAGCTATCTGAACCCAAAATTTATATATAATTGATTAGACTTATAACCGAATTAAGCCTAAATGATAAGATTAATAAACAAGAATACATTTTTACAAGAACATGTCAATAATTCTATATATACTTAATTGACCAAATCCAAAGGTTGGCCATAAATAAAAAATCAATCGATATGATATTGACTCTACCCAAAATTCAACCGATCAGATTTTGACTCGATCCAAAAATAATTGGTCTGATATTGATCCGAACAGAAAAACAATCGATCCGATAATCACCCAAATCAAAAATTAAACAAACCCGCTACCCAATCCGACCCAATTTACTATACACCGAATTAAATTCGAACCAGACTCAATCTAATAAAAAATTGAATATAATCTAAACCCAAAATAACCGGATCTAAATCTTCTGTTTGCCGCCTCTAGTAAGACTAGGGTTCGACGTGTAATTTGAGAATCACATACATCTGCGTATGATGTGAAGGATAGAAGTGGTAATTTGAGGATGAAGCTTATTGGGAGTTGATGCAAAAGCAAGGAGGAGCAGGAAAACGTCGGCAAATAATTAATTAGAGAGAGGGCATTCCAATGCTGGCTATTTATTGCCCTTCTCTACCCAATGAAGAAAAGGGGTTCAGATCTACCCCCACCCACTCTTATAATTCCAATCCAATGCCAGTTTTGTTATATATTAAGGTGCCGTATAATATGGATGAGAGAACTGTTCCTATTGGATCGAACAATGCAACTGAAGCATGACGGTATCTCCGGGTTGCGACCGTCTTTAATGTTCCTATTCGATGTCAAAGTGAGATTAACAGTAAAAAATTATAAATAAATTTCTTATTAATTTAAAATAAACAAAAAATAATATATATTTAAAAATAATTATAATTCGTCCCCAAACTATCAATGTGGAAACTAATGCAACCATAGAGCCATGCAAAGAAAGGAATCATTTAAAGCGATAACAACCTGGTAAAGATGGAGGGCTCTTGGCCCCAAACATGTGATGCACACAGAGTTGCAGGGGTGGCTCTGACCCACCACCACCACCACCGCCAAACGACTTGTTCCATTTATGTTCATATAAACTCAAAACACTTTCATATCTCCAAGGAAACAGTTCCCATTACATTTGTTGATTTAATAAAATATAATTCAAAGAATAGGAATGAAATGTGATTTATCAAAATTGTTGAACTTATATATGATTTATTAGTTGTTTATTTTGCCCAATACTCTCTAATAGACAATGAATTAATAGAATTGTTACTTTCACTCAACTATCCAATTTCCCTCCAAAACATGTGTTGGACAATCTCTGCTTTATCAATTATGTAGCTCCGAAATGGTTTATGTCCATGTGAAGCCGAGTTGCAGTCAGTGAGTCAGTACGACTGGGCAACTGGCAATGGTGGGGTTAATATGAAGGGCACAACACAAAAACTGAGTGGCGACTGGCGAGTGAGCCTTCCATTCCATCTAAAACCTCACTTTTGTTAGTCCAGAGTTGGGACCCTAAACCTCTCGTTTCACCGAATTTTAAGCGTGTTGAAATGAAATAATAATTGGGGCACTGCTGTGGGTCATATTTAGAGATACACAAAAAATCGAATATCTAATTTTTGCATAAAAAATATCTGAAATTGGATTTGAAAAAAACCGGATAAAAAATTGATTTTTTATCTGGAAAAAAATTCGGTATGAGGTTTAAAAAATTAGATAACCGGATTTTTTACCTGATTAAAAACATGTTACATCGGTTACATTATCCGGCCCTCCAAACCGGTTATGATCCGAACCGATTTTTTTATAAACCGGTTTTTTGACTTAGTGAAAAAACCAGATCAATTTTTATCCGATCCGGATCGGATTTAAATCCGGTTATGTGCATCTATAGTCATATTAGAGCATCATTAGATTAGGCTATAATCAGTACAATATTAGAGAACATGTTGGTATCATCGTCTATTGATTTTGTTCTCTAACATGGAACGGCGGGGGCAAACTGCAGGGATTTGTATTGCGATACAAATGCTAAATTGCTAATAACACCCATATAGGATGGCAACGCGTCGGAGTAGGGTCAAGTTTTTATCGATCTAACCCAACTCGAAAATATCATCCACTTAAATTCTATTCGACCCAAAAATTATATATTCTTCATTCAATTTGACTCGACTTAAAAAATTTATATTCTAATCTGATTCAACTTGACCTAAAAGAATATATTCTCCACTCAACTCTGATTCCACCCGAAGTTTTAGAGTATAAATCTAACCTGACTTGACCAGACCCGGTATAAAATAAGGATTTAATTAAAATAATAATATTTTTCAAAAATTTACATTATTATCCCCTGGTCAAGTCGGATTAGAGTTTTTTCACCCTATATCTGAATTCGATCCGACCAGACCCAGTCCAAACTCGATTTCTTTTTTAAGAAAATTTGATCTTATAAAATCATATCGAATCGAAACACTTCGATTTCGAGATAAACTACCATCTACTTGTTTTATAAAACTCACAAGACACATTTGAATTGCATGCACGAAGCTTCTTGTTTTTTGTTCGCATCCGCAACGGGACGGTGCCGATCAATTTTTATAGCTAATTTCACTTTTGACCCGGTATTATTTAGGGTAAATTATATATTTCATCTCTCAACTTTCTTATTACTCTTATTTTGATCACTAAAATTTAAATATTTAAACTACAAAAACAAGAACCGATTGCTAAAAGCTTTTGCATTGGTTTTGTTAATGGTTTGTCCGAAAAATACATTTACATGTTTCCAAACCTTAAACCAAAAGTCATTAAGCCAATGATTAAAGGGGAAAACATTACCAAACTACAAATTTATTTCTTAAGGAAACACCAATTGCCATACGAAACAGCTCAGCTGTACCTTGCTCTTCGACACGAACCATCCCATAACCGAACAACGTTTCCGTTTATCGCCGTCAAATCCTGATAACGGTACCACCCCGTCTCCCCTTTCCTCAACCTCAACACTCTCTCCCAACTCTCCCACCGGTCCCCGCCGCAACTCCCTTCCGTACAGTTCCCGTCACCTTCACTCCATTCCGTATCCGTCGTTTCACCATCGATGTCCTCTTCGTAATAACAGTCAACCTGGGCTTCCCACTTTTCGTCACCCCGCCATTGCAAACGAACCGCGAAACGCTCGTCGTCCCCGTAACGGAAGCTAGAGCTGAAACGGTCGGTTTTTCTTCAACTTCGGTAGTCGACCAGCCCTGCTTGTGACTTTTAACGGTCGAAGAGGAGGTGGCGGCGCCGGCAGCTTTGATTCTCCAAAACTAACTGCCGCCGTGATGACAGCGACCCACGTCCATAGATTATTAACAACAGTGAAGATCCCAAACTCAGGTAGTTAAATGCTAAAGCTTCGAGCCGAGAATCCAACAACTGCTTCATTTTGTTCGTGTGGTTTGTGAGAAGAACAATCTGAAGCGCCTATAAATGGTAAGGGATTAGGTGTAGGATAAGGAAATATGGGCCGTTGGATAGGTCAAGTTGAGGGAGGGGATCTTGATGAAGAATTCCAAATGCTGAGAATCGGAAGCGAAGATGCTAATATGCTTAGGTAGATGCCAATTAGATAAGCCGAGTTTTAGGTTAATATTATGTGTGACAGGTGGTGGGTTATAATTGGTGGTGATTTTCAGCCGAATATATTGGGTAGTTTTGTATTACTGCAATTTAATATAACTCTAATTAAATATGCTATAATAAATGTTAATGATTTTTTAATATTTTTGTTAGAGTGCTACTTAGAATGTTATTTTTTTTATCGAAAATATTAATTTCGTTATCTAAAATAAATATTTTTTATATTAATATTTTTAGTATAAAATAATATTTTAAATAACACTTAATATTAATATTTTTGATAAAAAATAATATTTTAAATAACACTCTATCTAAAATATTAAAAAAATATTAACGTTTTTTATAACATCTTTACTTAACCTTATATTCAACCGTCACATTCATGGGTATATGAGGCTGAGAGTTAAGAGCGTCAAAGAAAATATATGTATTGTGTGAATATCACTAAGGCACGTGGGAGCAGACAAGTGGTCCAATGAAAAATGAAAATCCAATACCCCACGTCTCCCTCGCTTAATGACTAGCTTAATGACTAGTACTAATTAGGGGTGTACAAATCCGGGTACCCGGATTTTCGGGTATCCGATTTCCGGGTACCCAAAACTTCCGGGTCGATAATTTTTTGACTCGTGTCCCAACCCGGATGTTATAGGTATCCGATAATAGGTTTCTTGGATTTTGCGGGTACCCGGTAATCGGGTACCTGATACCCGGTTTTTAATTTTTTATTTTCAAATTATTAATTTAAAAAAATATACACACAAATTTAAATGTTCGAAACTTCGAATTACATACTCTAATATCCGAACATAAAATTTAAAAGTTCAAAATACAAAATATAATAATCCATAATATAAATAATTCATTATATTTTATATAATTATATATAAAAAAAAAACTAACCGGGTACTCGGGTACCCGGAAAAACTAGATTTTGTGACCCAGGCCCGACCCGGAAAATGTTGGGCCGGGTACCCGACCCGGCCGGGTAATTTTTTTAGAGACTAGATTTTGTGACCCCCCGACCCGGAAATGTTGGGCCGGTACCCGACCCGGCAGGGTAATTTTTTTTAGAGAATTACCCGATTTTTTTAAATCCGGGTCAGCAAGTCGGGTCAACCGGGTCAGGTAATTTTGCACACCTCTAGTACTAATGCCACAATTATTGGCGGCAGTTTTTTTTGGAGTTCACACAATTAAAATTGAGATAAATTATACATTTAATATTTAAATTATCAGTTTTGATTTATTTTAGTATTTTAATTTTTAACTTTTTAAAATTATATTTAAAATTTATTTTTTGTTTTATTCTAGTATTCTGTTTAAAGTCAACGTTAAAGTTTTAAAAAATTGAAAGATTAAGTACTAAAATGAACTAAAACTGATATTTTAGGTAGTAAACATGCAGTTTTTAATGGCATGTACTAAAATGGAACAAAAATTAAATGTTAGATATGATTTTAAAAAAATTGAAAGTTTAAGTATTAAAACAGACTAAAATAATAATTTAGGTATTAAATGCATAATTTACTCTTAAAATTATATAAGAGTGGCGTGTAGTTGTAATGGAAAATATATAAGGTTATCTCCAGCCCTCATCTCTATTCTACAACATCTCTATCTCTACTCTAAAGATAAAAGATTAATTTATCTCCAACACTATTTATACATTACTACCAACTCTACTTTATTCACAATATTTAACTATTAATATGTTTATTTATCTAATTTTAATTTATTTTTATCTATTTACAATTTAATCTACTTGAATTTATATATGTTTAATTTTTATTTTATTGTGTATAAATTACAATAAAAAACATAAAAGATAGAACAAGATAAAATAATATAACAAATAAAAGGAAAAGAAAAATAAAATAAAATAAATAAAGTAAAAAAATAAAAATAACAAAAAAATGTAGCGTAGCTACACTGCAACTCTAGATGTAGAGTATCACTGTAGCTTTTATCTATTATCGCGTTGAAAGTGGAGATGGGCTGGAGTTAAAATTCATCTTCAAAGTAGAGATTTTTTCTACTCTAGTGATGCACTGAAAGTGATCTAATTCTAGTTTTCGACATTAAATATTAGGGTAAACTCTAAAAATAGTCACACATTAACATTTTTATTTGTTTCAGTACATTCATTGTTATTACTTTAAAAAAAAAAACTTGACGTGACACGATATCTTTTGTCTCTCTTATTTTTTTTCGTGGTTGAACCTCCTCCTTCAATGTCTAGTATCGTCTTATTATCCATTTTAGTAGTAAATCTACAACGAATTTCATAATTATTTCTCAGCATAACTCAGTTCTACGATGTCATCAAAATTTCTATTTGTCCTAAATGGAAAAGAGAACTTGCAAAGAAAAGTTACCAATTTAACCAACATTTCATGTCATTCTCATGTTAATCTGTCATTTTGAATTGTCATATTAATATCGTGGATTATCACGTCAGCACTGTTAATTATTACATTAGTATTATAATATCAATGAAAAATGTTTGTCAAAGGACCACATTCAATTTATTTTATGAGTTAGAGACTCACATTAAAAAAATAATACGATGACCATATTGATTTTTTTCAAAAATACAAAAACCCGCCTTTTTTGGCTAGTAAAAATATCTTTGTGCAGTAACAATTAATTAGAAGTAGCTATGGGGGAAAGAAGTTTCTAGAATTTTCGCTTCAAACCTTTGGCAAGCAACCACTAATTGTTGGTATGTTCCACGGTCGTCTTGGGGGAAAAGCAGTACAAGGCATTGATATTCAAAAGTGGTTATATGAATGTGCACTCGGACCGCTCCCCTTCCACACATTTTGTGGATGTGGGATTGTATTTTGGCTGCGCCACCCACAATGGAAGGTCACTCAAACGGACCAAATGTGAAATCAATTTTGTCCAAGTCAAAGTCTTTTGTCTCTCCCTAAACTTGATAGGCAAGAACTATGTAAACCTTAATACCGGGGAGGGAGAAGCAGCCTCCCATAGATTCCATGGAACGGACTAGTATTATTCCTTTCCATAATAAAAGGGTAAAGTATGTAAAAGGTCACCTGATCATACGATATTATTGTTGTGTTCTCTTACTGTTTAAATGACATATCTTTGTAATCGTATATAAGTGCTTAATTTTTAACAACAATTTTTTTCAATTTAAAGCATATTTGAAAATGTTAAACCCTTATTTGAGTATATTAAAAATTAGTAGACCTTATTTAAATATTTAGAAGGTTAGATCCTTATTTGATTGTTTTAAACGTTAGACTCGTGTCGTACCTGAGTAATCATCCTATCCAGAGGGGAGGGAAATAGGGAAAGAAAGAGGAATGTTCTTAATAGATCTAGAACTACGACCTAAGAAGATATGAGAAAAAAAGATGAATAGCTTGACCACTCGACTAAATATGTTTATTATAAATTTAATTATAATCATGTCTAGAGGGGAGGGAAATAGGGAGGAAAAGAAAGGAGAATGCACTTAGTAATCTAGAATTCATGACTTAAAATAAATACGATGAAAAATGAAAGCTGGACCACTCAACCAAATATGTCTGCTCAAGTAATCCTTAAAATATTAAACTTTTATAAGAGTGTTTAACTTAATCATACTCACTAAATTCAATGTGTCTTAAAAGAAAAGTTAAACCATAGGGTGAGCAAGTGAGTAAGAGAAATGAAGAAATTTAGTGATAAAGATATATTGTTTTCTTCGTATTATTTGGATTCAAATAATTTTATTTGGAGTTACATGCAAATTTAATCAGATATATCAGAAGTATTGAAGATCGTAATAATTAAGTAGAAATATGCTCATTTTTATGGTGACGATAATAAGGGACCAAATCCGCATTTGCAACTGTAATAATATTACATATACGAACGAAATGAATTGGTCTGCGCCATTTTCTCTCTATATACCGAACTCTTACGTCAAAATTCACGTGCTTTTGACAATGACTCTCCCGTTCCATGCAACTATATATAACGTGCAAATGCTGAAAGCTTTCATCACCTTCATACTCTCCAACCCTAGCTACGCTTCATTTCTCTGCAAGAGACTCGAAATTTTCAATGGCTGATCTTCACCATGAAACCACTCCTTCGATCATCTCCAAGATTGCCATCATCGGAGCTGGTGTTAGTGGCATCGCAGCTGCTAAACAGCTATCTCACCACAGCCCGGTCGTTTTCGAGGCATCGGATTCGATAGGCGGGGTGTGGAAATCCTGTGCGTATAAATCTACGAAACTACAATCTGCTCGTAAGGATTACGAGTTCTCGGATTTCCCATGGCCTAACAGAGTGATCCAAGTTTCCCTACTCATGTTGAGATTGTGCATTACTTGGAATCATATGCTAAAACCACTTTGATGTTCTGAAGTTGTCGAGTTCAACTCAAAGGTGATGGAGCTCCGGTTCGTCGGTCACCATGAATCAACCGAGCTTGCTGCAAATGCTGGGGCATATGTGAGTCCATTGCCAGGCCACCCGGTTTGGCAGATTGCAGTGAGAAGGAATAATTCTGAAAACCTTCAGGTTTGATGCTTTTTAATCACTAAACCAACAAAATAAGAAGGGTTTGTTTGTTGATGGTACGATCCATGGTTTGATGCTTATTTACTTTCAGTTGTATGCGTTCGAGTTTGTGGTTGTATGCATTGGAAAATATGGGGATATACCCAGGATCCCAAAATTCCCAAACAACAAAGGACCCGAAGTGTTCCAAGGGAAGGTCCTTCATTCCCTTGATTACTGCAAGCTGGACAAGGATGCTGCTACTCAACTACTCAAAGGGAAAAAAGTTGCAGTCGTTGGCTACAAAAAATCAGCCATTGATCTTGCCGTAGAGTGTGCAGAAGCAAACCAAGGTAATTTATCTAGTAAATGAGATGGTTAATATCAAAGTAATTGATTTATTATAAGTTTCGAATATTATATTCACTAACCAAGTGATAGATTAATTAATGATTTCTTATATAATAAGAGATAAAAGGAGTAAATTTTGCATGGTTTTCCACGATAGGAAGGCCGAAATTTACATGGGTTTGATTTATTTATTTGCTCCAAATGATTATTTGAAGGGCCTGAAGGGCAGTCATGCACCATGGTAGTAAGGACTTCACTGGACTGTTCCACATTATTGGGTGTGGGGTTTGCCTTTCTTCTTGTTATACTCAACAAGATCTTCTCAGTTCCTCCATGAAAGGCCTAACCAAGGCATTCTCAGGACCCTGCCTGCTATCTCTTATCTCCCATGGTGAGTTGACATTTCTTAACGCCCTTAAAAGACATATATATTACATGCACATGGTGTTCTATATAACTGATACTTGTATTTTTTTCTCTTTTCTGCAGAGGCGAGGGGTTTCGAAGTTCGTCGAAATCCTACTTGCTTTGGAAACTTCCATTGCAAAAGTATGGATTGAAACCAGACCACCATTTGAGGAAGATTACGCTTCATGTCAGATGGCCATCATGCCTGAAAATTTCTTCACCGAGGCTGATAAGGGGAACATTGTTTTAAAAAAATCATCGAATTGGTGGTTCTGGAAAGAAGGGATCGAGTTCGATGACAAAACTAAAATGAAGGCCGATGTTGTGATTCTCGCGACTGGTTATGATGGAAAGAGAAACTCAAAACTATTTTACCAGATCTTTTCTGTAGTTTAATAGATATCATCCTTCTGGAATCATTCCCCTGTATAGGTAAAAAACATAGCGAAAATAGAGCTTAGTTTGGGATTTTTCGACAAGACTTTTCAGACTAACTGATGATTAATTACTGTTCTGGCAGGGGCACAATCCACCCATTGATACCGAACATGGCTTTCGTGGGTTATATCGAAAGCGTTGCGAACCTTCACACCTCAGAGCTTCGTAGCATGTGGCTAGCCCGATATGTGGATGAGAAGTTTAAGCTCCCGAGTGTCGAAAGCATGCTGGAACAGATATATAAGGAAATGGAGGTGTCGAGGAGGACAACCAGGTTCTACAAGAGGCACTGCATTTCGACATTTAGCATCAATCACAGTGATGAAATCTGTGAAGAAATGGGATGGAATTCTTGGAGGAAGAGTAGCTGGTTTGCCGAAGCATTTAGCCCTTATGGCAGTCAGGATTATAGTCACCAAAACTAAAATGATCACACAGTCGCTTCTTTTTCTTTATTAATGTGCATCTCAGATAAGAATCAGCTGATGCAGAAAAGGAAAACAATAAATGCTAATAAGTGAAGTAGAACTAATCATCAATTCACCATAGAGTCATTCAATTTCAATGTCCTCAAAAGGACTTATAGGGGTTTCCTGTGTTTGTGATATCAATAGAAAGATGAAAATAAAATAAATGAAGAAATATTCTGAACATGCAGCGGAAATTCAAACTTGTTGCATTAATATATATATATATATATATATATATAGAGAGAGAGAGAGAGAGAGGTGCACATGCAAGTATGGTCATAGAACTTGTTGATATCATTTGATGTATAGAATCAGTGTCACAGGAATTATTAGGAATTCAATACGCAATAATTAATGCCAAAATAATCACTCAAGGAGATTTGATGCTTGTTGATTCAATACAAATGAGAAGGTACAAAACTGAATGACCGCATTCTTTATGATCATTTAACCAGGGTCAGGTGTTGTATTTTTCAAATGTGGTTTTAAAACATACCCATCAACAGCAAAGTTTCTAGTGGCGGAAGGGATTGCTAAACGGATTCCATCCAGTTCAGGCCTTGCGATTATTGACATCCTGGTCAACACCTGAAAAGTTCAAGAATATGACAATCCATTTAGATTAAACTTCAATATACGTATTACATGCATACATAATACATACATACATATACATATATATGTATGTTTGTATTCTATGTGATGAATGAACTCACGTTTCTGTAAGACCAAAGGCGAGGTCCAACATGTCATTCTCCTCATCACATGGATCTTCTAATTATTATAGTACTCCATATCCTAGCAAAAAAAGTTAAATAGTTTGTTTGAAAGAAGATTATGAATTATTATGAATCAATCAACAGCATGACGTTTGATTAGCATACCCACTATGACATGGCATGTTGAACAGGCAAGTGAGCCTTCACATGCTCCTGCAATGATGGCACAATCAGACATTATTTTTAGGAAAGAAGCGTAAAGTAATCAATCAAGTAAATATCTGTTTTGTTACCAAAACGGTTATTTGTATCACAAAAGAATAAGGCAATTGTTAGATCCATGGAACGCTACAAAATTAATGGATCAATAATAGATCATAAGTCTTGCCTTCGACCTCTATATCATTTTGATGAGCTGCTTCCAAAATTGACATTCCGATGGGCACTTTAATGGAGATTTCTTCTCCATCCTTGAGACAAATGTGACAGGTATCCTGAAAAATAAGATAATCTAACTTGAATAAATGGAGAAAAAAACAGTTGTACATTAAATACATACAGAACCATTAAGTGTTTAAAGAACAATGTTTGATATGCTATCAAACTCCAAACTTTAATTGTCGGTGAATGAATCACAATCTGAATCTTCCACCAAATAGAAGTTTAAAAGCCCATTGTGCAGGGATGGAAAGTAGAGAAGAAAAATACACAAAATCTGATTAAAGACACATGCATACTTAAGACACAAGTCCTCCTATTCAGGGGTTCTGGTGCTCTGGATGCCACCCTACCCCACATATAACCTGAGGCATTAATGGACACTGAAGGTTGAAGTTCACCTTGAAGTATGCTAAAATTTGTCTGAACGATATCAAGTTCACCATGCTCATACAATTTTATTTGAAAACAGCTTACGTTTCTTTCTGTTTGTCCCCTCCCTCAGAAGAATTGTTGGAATCTGAGTTAGAAAAATCATGATGCTTTTGAAATATGGCCCCTGAAAAGCTCTAGTTTCGGGCAGTAATTCAATCTGTCCAAAAAAAAAAATGAAGAAAAGAGAAATAGATCATGGGAAAAGTTCAGTTTTCTTATCCCATTCTGTAAAGTGCAATACCAACTGTTTGTCTATAATTCTTCAATTTCTATACCAATACCAACCACAGATTTTTCATACTTCAATGTATTCTGGTAAGAACCGGCACCTACAACTGATTAATGTTCGGATTTCGTCAAATGTTGGTTAGTATGCTTACCAGATTTCTCGCATACTTATCATCCAAGTTTTGGTGCTATATTCCTACCCCACTGACAAATCCCCAAATTGTTACTATAACTAAAATTAATCAAATCATTCCATCCCCTCACTAAACAAATTTACTGCCACACTATTTCTTCTGTAGATATTATAAGAGAACAATCTTTCCACTTGAAAACCAATCTGCAAAATGTTGTCAACTGGCTCATCTAAAACCACAATTTACATGGACAAAAAATATATCCTAAAGACTGTCCACAGCTGAATCGACCTAATTATAATGAGGGCAAGGCTTGATTGTGTCATTAGAGAATTGATTAGTGCAGTCAATGCATTCCATCTCCTAAAAGCCATAGGGTAACATAGTCATCTCCATCATTCAAGATAATTAACAGGGACAAGCACATATCATAATCACTTTATTAACTTTAAACATTTTCCATAACATCCAACGAGAGTAGACTATATCCTTGTCCTAGGCTGCTTTCAGTGACAAATATATAGATAATGCATGTCAAATTATAACCGTATCGTTTTGAAAAAGGGGAAAAAATGAAAATAATAACCACTGACCGGAGAACGATGGTATTGTCCACAGGGCCCTTGTCTAAATCTTGTTCTCGAGACACAAGTATATCCCCCTATATAAAAGAAAGCAATTTGGAGTCAAGTCAGTAAATGAGAAATCATTTCATTCAGATGAAGCATTGGTAAGAACCCGCAACAAAATACCACTCTAAGTAAAGCAAAATGGCAATTTCCCATAGAATCAAACCGTAACAGATGAACCCAAACTGAGAGAAGTAGCAAACCTCTGGATAGTTCTTTGGCAATCCAAAATCCAAATCTAGAAAGCCTAGGAATTAGCATATTTTGATATTTGTAAAACGGAGCCCTGCTTAAAGGAGAAAACATGAATATGCTTAGAAACATATCAAATATAAAAGGACTAGCTTTTGAAGCTCATTAGTCAATAAAGTTGAACTGAGAATTCAGGTAAGATGCTGCTTATTCATACCAATGTACACGTAAATCTCCAGAAAGCTGAAATCACGAAAAAATTCAATTGAGAAACGAACTTCAGAAAAAAAAATGATACACCTTTTTTACAAGGAGATGAACAGAGGAAATTTGAACCAAGTTTGGGCCAATCAGAGTAAGATTTTTGCTACGAGTGCTCCAACTGGGTCTCTTGAGTAAATAATATGCGTCGCTGAGAGAGAGGAGTATTCGAGGAAGAAAGAAGAGAGTTCGAGACCAAACCACAGCAAAACTAAAACAACGATGTCCACGGAGAGCGGAGAAAGAATCTTCTCTCCGTAGAAAATAAAAGGTAGGCTGGAGAAGCGGGGGATCGAAGCCCGTGCCTCTCGCATGCAAAGCGAGCGCTCTACCATTTGAGCTACATCCCCTTTGCTATGTCATAATATATTTATTTTATATTGTTAAAAATATGAAGTAAAGCATGTGTTGTGCTTTTGGACTTGCTGAGTGAGCCAAGCACTGCGTCAAGGAGATGAGATAATTTGGGATGTTAAGTCGTCAAATTCTATAGAAACTCTTTTATATCGAATGTATTTGCTTCAAATACTAATATTTTAGGTTAATTATGATATTTGATTATAATATTATATATCATTTAGCCTTTTAATCGATTTTAATTATAATATATATTTGAATTTTAATATTTAGATCTTTTAAATTTAACACTCTACTTCATGTTTGAGTGATTTATGATGAAAGACCATTTCAGTTTAATATTCAACTAATTTAATTCTAGTTCATTACCTTTTGAATCAAATAAGATTAATCTGAAGTAAAGTAATTGATCAAAATAATATTTAATTAAAATTTTCATTGAATCATTAAAATAAATAATATTGTATTATCAAAAAATATATATGTATTAAAAATGGTAATTGGTTTTCATTAACTATTGAAGGAATCAAAACTACGTCGCACCCAAATATAGAGAGAAAATGGAGATGATACTCATCAAAATTTACATACAAATATAAATATTAAACTTAAATATACGAAGGAAAAAAATATTTCATTGAAAATGACGACCAACATCAAAAGAAACCCAATAACTTTCATAAAAACTAATTCTCTGTCAGATGAGATGTTTTATGAAGTGATAAAACAGTAGGTGACAAACACCAAATCAACATTAGTCTTGCAGAGAAAGCCTTGTCAGTTGCTGGTCTATTATACCTACAAAGGAGGATGGTGAATTGGATCAAGAAAGGTCTTTATCATATGCTTGATTTATGTGTCTGTTGCATTGAAGTTGTCAGTTTGGTTTTCTTCGGAACTCTACTTACACGTGTCTTTGTCAGCAGATTGGTTGCATTGTTAGCAGATTTGGGACAAAGGGGTGGCATCTTGAGGTTAGTTGGTAAATTTGCTTTGCTTTGGGGTGGTAAACGTGGTGCAGTGAGTTTAACGGATAGGCTTATCTCATTTCTCCATATAGCTGAACGCCCCTTCTACAAAGGTATTAAGTGGCTACCTTCCCAATCCACCTTTTTTTGACATTTCTGATATATATCTGGGTGCTAGGTGCTGGTGGTGTTCTACTTTTCCACCTAGATTTATGTTTGTTATATGTTCTTGCTGTACTGATGTTGTACTTTTCCTCTCATGTCCTGCTTTCTTCCCATAGGATCTTGGCTTTGTCAGCATGGGTCTTGTTTGCGGTCACTAGTTATTGTCCAATCGCTTCCAACTTTTGTGCGGAGCTGGACAACAATAATCCCTCCATGTCACTGAACTTGTTTCCATTATTGGCTTATACGTCGCTCTCATGATACTTGTCATGTTATGGGGGAAAAGAACACTTGGTTATGAAAAACCACATGAGCAACATGGCCTGGTTTTGACATCATCAACGGTATGGATTCTTGCTTAAACCTTTTATTGAAGGAAAATCTAGATGGAGGGGCATTTATATTTGTCTAGTATGTTAGCTTCTGATTCTTATCATGCATGCTGGTTTTTGTCTTTGAGTTTGTGCTTTTACGCACCTGACCAACTAAGGGTTTGAGTCAGAGAGGAATCTTGAATTAACAGTTAAACAGCCACTATTATCACAGACAGAATGAGTTAATATCTTCATTATTACTTGCAGATAAGAGGGCTTCTGATGGGCCTGATTGGAGGAGTCACGATTGTAATGTTAATATCTGTAAATGCTTTGCTTGGCTGTGTCAGTTTGTCTTTGCCTTCAAATTTTCTTCCATCATCTGCACACTTTATCCATGGCTAGGCTCCAAGTTTATGGGAAAACTGCTTTTTATGGTTCTTCGAGGAATTGTTACTACTGGCATTGTGCTAGTTGAAGTACTGGTTTTTAAATCATGGTTGCCTGATGAAATTTTGCAGATTTGGCTACCATTGGGGAATTATCATATCAGGGATTGCATTTTCTTGACCCAGAGGTAAACTTTCTCCCTTGCAATATTAAACTTTGCTAACAAGTGCCCTGATAATGGTTCAATGGGATTACAGGTCTCTAATGGCGATACCCGGGTTATGGCTTTATCATTGGCTCTATCAGGCATTCGGCAAAGAAACGAGGGCAGCCTCTCGATTCAATCGGGTTGCGGGCTGGGATAATGGCTTCAAGTTTTGTTCTACAAACAAGTGGAGTTGTAAATTATGAGGCCAACCATCCTCACTGGGTAACTGAAGCTTACCCCTTTCAACCTTTTAGTGGAGTAGTTGGTCTTGCATTTGTTTTAGCGTTGGCAACTATTTTCTATCCGAGACAACCTCTGGAACACAAGAACCTCGAAAGAACCAAACAGGAAATGTAGGGTTAGAAGAGCAGCAGCCTCTGCCTCAAATGCTGCTGCCTGCATTTTGGGTCAATCAATAACCTCCAGTCTTTGTAATGGTGATGGTATAGCAGTGTACAGTTTGTAAAGGTA